ATGGCCGAATGCGAGAGTAACCAGAGCAACCCTGAGAACTTGAGGCTAGGCAGCACTTGCAATTGCGCCCATAGGGAGTACATCACTCTCTCCGTGGGGGCCGGATGCAGTTGGAGGAGATGGGTCGCTCTATCACAGATGTCAGTCGTTAATACTTCAGTTGGCGTACGAGCCTGAATGGCCCGACCGAGGCTTGATTTGTATTGTGCAAGGCATTTGCTTCCTGCTTTTCACGCTTGCCATGAGAATATACCTGGGTCGAGCCTGAGGTGTGTGATAGGTGTTCCTCCTTGGATGAGGATAGGGCCCTTGCCCCGAGGGTGTTCCTGGTTCTCTAGCCTTCGCTTGGGAGGTGGCTGGTTGCCGTTGCGCTGCGACTCTGCGAGGAGAACCAGGTGTAACCTGGTTTGGTCGGGTGTGTCAGTCTGAACGTGTCAATGAGACCATGCACTTGGATGAAGTCAGCCACTGTACTGGCATCTGCTTTCTGCCGCGACACTACCGGAGAGTCGAGACCTGGTACAAGCGTCACGTTGAAGTCCCCGGCCAGTACGACGTTGTCTGCGCCGGGAAGAAGTGCAGGGAGTTCCTCCAGAAAGGACCTCCGCTCCCGCGGCTCCGATGGTACGTAGACTGTCATTAGCAGCCAGACTTCAGTCCCCAGCTGCAGGCGGATCCATGCCCAGTGCCCCCAGATGTCTGCATCTTGATCTAAGACCTGTGTGTGCCTCGAGATTTCTGTGCAGCAGGATGGCGCAGCCCCTTTTTGTGCCCTCTGCGGGTGGCCATAACTGCGGTCCTCTCCACCAAAACTGATTGCTTTCTAGCTTGTCCTCGTCGAGCTTTGTTTCTTGCCGGAGCATCACTTGGATTGTCTGCTCGTGCATCAATGTTTTCAAGCCCTCCTTCTTGTGACGTCCCGAGGTGTCTCATGTGCCCCTGATGTTCCACGTAGCGAGCCTAAAAGCCTGGGCATTAGAAGTTGTCTGCCAGTGGGCGGTTGCAGTTGTCACGGCTGCTTGTTCTATCCGCTGCGCTTCATCTGTCTGTTGTCGGCCTTCTCTTAGTCGGCGCTGTTCTGCTTCGCTGGGGGTGGTCCAAGGTGCCAAGAGCAGATTTCTGAATCCCGAGGAGTAAGGCTGCTGCTTGTCTGTGGCGAGCGATGAGCAAAAGTCAGTGACCAAGCTAAGCCTTGCATTGACATCCTCCGGCATCAGGTATGTTTCCTGCAGTTCCTCCGTGTTGGCTGCAGTGAGCCAAGTGGATGGCAGCCACACTTTGCCCTGCATTGCCAGTAGGGCAACAGTGTCGTGGAGGACTTTGGCATCCAGAACACGGAATCCGATTGAGAAATGCCAACTCCCAGCTCCCTCTGGCGGCTGCAGCGACCCTCTTCCTTCCTATGCGGATTCCTGGTACTACCACCGGAAGGGGAAGCGGTTCGCAATGAAGGTACTACAGTTCGCAATGAAGGTACTAGTACAGTAGCCGCCACCGCCTTGACTGCTTCCTTGGTTGTCGGGGGAAGAGCTGACTGCTATCGTCGCAATGGCCAAAACACCTTCAAGTTGCACGGTTACCTGGTCGTCAACTTTGTACCTTGCGGACCTTGGGGACCTTGCTCCGTTCTTCTGGCCATGAACTTTCTTTTTTTTTTTTTTTTTTTTTTTTTTTTTTTTTTTTTCAATCAAACTCATTCCATTACCAAGAACACGAAAGGAGGCCGGGGACCCCACAATTCAACCCGGAGGTATCTGACAGCATCAGCCAGCTTAGCTTACAGGTCAGAAGACCTGCGGCCTCTCGGCCATGAACTTTCAGTTGTACCTTGGGGCGTCAACATGAACCATAGGAGTTACAAAAAAAAAAAAAAAAAAAAAAAAACATGAAGCATAGGAGTACCAACTGATGTCTGACGTTGCCCAATGTTGGCTGAACAGCTGCAGGCTGAATTGCTGAAGAGAGGGTCTGTGGCGTTGGTGCAGCTGGGAGTGTGCCTGTGGGTAGTGAGAGGTGCAACCGTGCTCTGGCTGCCGAGATGGAGACAAAATCGAGTTCCCCTTCTTCTTCCTCTTGAGTCATTTTAATGCTAATCACACACCCAAGGTAAATCCAATCATTGCCTTCACTGGTTCTCTCCAAGGTAAGATTACTTTTTTTTTTTTTTTTTTTTTTTTTTTTGGGAACAAAGCTCCAATCTATTCGTGGTAAGATTACGATCATAGCATTGACTGAACTGTTCAATCAAACGCAACGCAAGACCTTCCAAGGGTCAATAACCCCACACTACTTAAAGTAACAAAGACAGACAATGTCATTAGCATGGGCCCCTGCGCAAGGATGAAATGCATAAATCGAGAAATGGTCCAAATTCGGAAAAAAAAAAAAAAAAAAAAAAAAAATCTAGTCCCAGTACGCCCTGATGCTATAGGGGCATTTGTTCGTAAATGTATCTAAGGGCGATGACTTCCAGATGGGAATGCATCTAGCCCCCATCACGTCCAGAGCAGAGTACAGAGAACCTCCCACAGTCTTCCCCCGAATACAACGTACGGTCATTTTTATAGCTGAATTTAGACTCGAAAGATAAACCAAATTCAGCTATAATGACCGTACGTTGTATTCGGGGGAAGACTGTAGTGTGAATTTGCCGCCAGAAGCGGGTAGCCGGTTGCGGTAAGGGTACTGGCCTACTCAACATTCTACATGAATTTGGACGCGTTTCTGCACTTGTGCATTCGTGGGAGTTCAACAGTTTGAATGTATCGGGATGATTATGACATCCTAATACATGCAGAGTGTTCAGTAGTGGAGTGAAGCCCATATTCTCCATCTTGGAGAGCGATCCTGTGTGTGTGGAAGTGAGGGCGTACTCACACTAACTCTATCTTAACTGTATCTGACCCCATTTACGGCCAAACCTCCATGAATCTGACAGCAATTACGTCTATCTGACGTCAATTACCTCCATGAATAAGGGCGTCGCCGCACTACTCACCAAATGTACAAAATGAGAAATGAATCTTCCGCTAGAACATGGAAAGATGCACCGCCTTCATTTTTGTCTTTTGTGCATGCGTGGAGTAGTGTAGCGAGGCCGAAGTATAAACTCCGAGTGTGAGTCTGTCGTGTGTGTGTGTGTGTGTGTGTGTGTGTGAGAGAGAGAGAGAAAAGCGGGAAAAAAAAAAAAAAAGAAAAAGAAAAGCGGGGGGAGGGGCAGTTGATTGGGTATCACCACGACGGCAGTGGTGTATCTGTAAAACCTTCAGTGGTTTATCTGTGAATTTTTTTTGAATCAGGCAATCGTTGTGATCCCCTCAATCAAGTTGAACCCGATGGGCCTAATTAGTCACTGTGCCTAATTAAAAAAAACTTTTGCAGTGGTGTATCTGTGCAACTATTGCAGGCAAAGGAGATCTGAACCTGGACAAGACAATGTCTTACAAAGCGAACTACTTCAATCCAAGCCCGCAACACCTCAAAGAGAGAAAAGAAAAAACGGTTCTTTCAAAAAAAAAAAAAAAAAAAAAAAAAACCGGTTAAAAAAAAAAGGGGTAACTTCCGTAGAGTCACAGAAACGAGTTATAATTGCACTACGGGGCAAGATACAGTTTGCTGCAATTGCACTTCGCGGGGCCACCCTACACCTGTCCAGAAAGCTGGGTTGTATACATGGCCCTAACTGCAATTCGAAACCGTATCTTGGGCCATAGTGCAATTATAAATCATTTTTTTGTGACTCCCTCGTACTTCTCCCCCCCCCCAAAAAAAAAGAAAAAAGAGAGAGAGAGAGAGAGAGAGAGAGAGAGAGAGAGAGAGAGAGAGAGAGAGAGAGTCCCAAACTTCCTGAAACGCGACCAAAAAGCCAAAAGGTTTTCAATGAAGCATCTCGAAAGATAGATCGTGATTATTAAAAAAAAAAAGAAAAAAAAAAGAAGATAGATCGTGAAGCCCTGGCGCAGCGACCCCACGATGCGTTGCATCCGGCCGCCAAAAAGGACAATTCAGGGGTCTTTTTTTTTTTTTTTTTTTTTCTGGGGTCTTGTTCGAATCGCAAAGGAGAGGAAACGAGATCTGAACCGGGACACAATAGTATGAAGAAGGGGAGACTCAGTCCAAAGATCTGGAACTCCATCAAGAAAGGGGAATCGTAGATCACGGCGCTCAAACGGACGGACAGATTACTTATTAGGTCACGGGTGCGGTCAGCACTGGATACGACAACATGGCATCCCTTACCTTTACAATCTTTGTTTTCTCTCTCTCTCTCTCTCACACACACACACACACACACACACACAGTCATATAAGATTAGCAGCTGGGCCGAGGTGCCACTAGCAAAGAGGATCGGATTGAATGCCTGAATCTGGATGTGTTTTACGCAGAAATGCAGAAGAGCAGTTCAATCTGGATTTCCTGCAGCTGTGCACAAACACGTCGAAATTCAGGCATTGAATCCCATCCTCCTGGCTAGTGGGACCACGCTCCTGTTGATGTCTGCAGCGCACCACGAGCAGGTCGAGCCCTGTTGATTGCTTTATTTTGTTTTATTTTTTAATCTTCAGGCGATGTGTCTTTTTCTGCGCATTTTTCATTTTTAATGTGGGTTTTTTTTTTTTTGAGTGTGAATGTGTGTGAGGAGGGTGGAGAGGGGAGGAGAGCGGAAGGGGGGGAGAAGGAAAGGTAAGGGCCGTCGCTCCACTAGTTCTACATGCATGAAAGACAAAAATCATGGCCCTGTATCTTGCCATGTTCTAGCGGAAGATTCACTCTCCTTTTGCACATTTCGAGAGTAGAGGAGCGAGGCGCAATGTGCTAAGAAAGTTATCGGGCAGAGAGAACAGCAACTTAGGTGGTTTCTACTTTATATATATATATATATCGTCACAAACAGATATATATATATATATATATATATATTGTTATATATATATTGTTCTCTTTTTTTTGTGAAGAACTTAGATGTAGAAGAGGAGGGAGAAGCTGGAGGAGGAACAGGAGTCAGTTCTTATATTTGTTAATTCCCCTGTTATTCGAGAGATTGGGCCTAGCTCCACTACTCACCAAATGCACGAAATTCAAAGACAAAAAATATAGCCGCGATGTATTTTCCCATATTGTAGCGGAGGATTCATTCGCATTTTGCACGTCTGCTCAGTAGTGGAGCGAGGCCCATAGAATGGTTCCTATACAGAATGCCCTCTCTTTTTTTTTTTTTTTTTTTTTTTTTTTCATCTCTTTCTTTTGGCCTTTCAAGGGACTGAATGGTTAACGTTCCTTGCAATGTGATTGGTTGGTCGGCTGATTAGTCCACGCACTGGATAGGGATGAGGAAGAGAGACCACCTTCGTCATCCCCTCGTCCTGCTCTGCCTTCGCGTACCACTACTGCCTGCTGCTACTTCTACTGCTACCCATCCTTATTGTCAGCACCTCCTCCTCCTCTTCCTCCTGCTCCTCTGCTCCTCCTGCTCCTCCTGCTTGTCGTCCTCCTCTTCCACCTCCTCCTCCTCTTCCTCCTCTTCCTCCTCCTCCTCCTCCTCCTCCTGCGCCTCCTGCTCTTCCTCCTCCTCCTCCTCCTGCGCCTACTGCGCCTCCTCCTCCTCTTCCTCCTCCTCCTCCTGCGCCTCCTGCTCTTCCTCCTWCTACTACTTTTAGTAGTTCCTCCTCCTCTTCCTCCTCCTCCTCCTGCGCCTCCTGCTCTTCCTCCTCCTACTACTTTTAGTAGTCGTACTACTACTCTACCACTACTGCAAGTACTGTGTTGCTTATCTCCCTTCTCCTCCTCCTCCTCGCCCTCCTCCTCGACGTCCTCCTCGTCCCTCCTCCTCGCCCTCCTCCTCCAGTTCCTCCCCTTCACTCCTCCAGCTCCTCTTTCCCTCTCCTCTTCCCTCCTCCTCCTCCTCCTCCCCCTCCTCCTCCTGCAACAACAACTACTACTACTACTACTACCTCCTCCTCCTCCTCGTCCAACAACTACTACTACTACCACCACCTCCCTGCTCCTCATTCTCCTCCTACTCCTATAATTGTATGGTACTACTACTACTGCTGTCACCGCCACAGTTGCTCTAATGCTGTACTACTGCTGCTGTTGCCTCTGTTGGGGGTACTACTGGTGGTAAAAATAGAAATATGATTCTTGGAACATAATGGGAGATAGTTATCCACTCTTGCCAAATCATAGCCATCGCGGCTTCTCCTTTTTTTTTTTTTTTTTTTTCAATCAGAACAACGTCACTAGGGGGGGTCATACGAGCAACCCCCCCTATTGCGCGTTGTGCCCCGCTTCTTCATCGTCGACTGTTTTTTGTTTTTTCGCTTCTTGGTTGGCATGGGCGTCTCCATCTTCATCTACCGCCAACGTTTTTTTTTTTTTTTCCCCTTTGTTTACCATTATCGTTGCAAACCTACAATCGTGTTTTTTTTGTTTTTTGTTTCTCGGGAAAAGGTGGAGGGGGAATGATGGACGATTGGAGGAACCGGTCCGGTAGCGCCACGTTAGCCCTAAGGCAGCGCTAATTCGTTCTCCAATTAGCGGAGTCTTAGCACTCCTCCTCCAATTAGCGGAGTCTTAGCGCTCCTTAGCTAATTCGTTCTCCAATTAGCGGAGTCTTAGCGCTCCACGGCCGGCCTACGCTTGGCGGGGAAGTACGCTAGTCGAAGTCCTGTGGCCATGCGGTATGGAAAGGCTGGCGTCTCGACTGGAAGAAGACAGCAGAGCTGTCTTCACTTCCTCATATCCGAACCTCTCCTTGAGTGGAGAGGGAGTGCCTTTGCACTCAAGGATAGGGGCCCCAGGCCACTTCCTCCTCTGTCCCACCTTTCACTTCATTAATTTTCTATGCTTGGAAATTACCGAAATGTTTTCTCTTCAAACCCTAATATTGGTTATTGCAACATCATGTTGATTACTCGTGCCCGCGAAAGCAGGCCCGAGTCTCAGGCACAGACAACCGTTGAGAGCGGCGTACCGAGACCTACAAGGGCAACTACTGGAAGAATGATCCGGACGGAAGAATGATCCGGACGGCGTCGCGGCGGGCAGTAAGAGAGCCTGCAGCAATGGTGGGAGCGTGCCGGAAGATTTCAGAACAAGAGCTCTAATCTCAGCATGGGATCTTGTGGAAGATCTGGAGCATTGAGGCTCTGCTTTTGGTGCTCGGAGACAGAGGCATTCATTGGCTTTCCGTTTCTTATGCTTAGTATCTGGCCGTAGCCTTTGCAAATGGGTGGTTAGATCCCCTGGCATCATGCATCTACTGGACATACTTGTTAGGTTTATGGGCTGTGTGGTTTCTTACGCTGATAGAAGTATCTGGCCGTAGCCTTTGCTAATGGGTAGTTAGATCCCCTGGCATCATGCATCTACTGGACNTTTGCTAATGGGTAGTTAGATCCCCTGGCATCATGCATCTACTGGACATAGTTTGTTAGGTGTATGGGCTGTGTGGTTTCTTACGCTGATAGAAGCTCTGTTTACTCTGTCGTATTTTAGGGTAATGATTGAGGTTGCTGTCGCTTGAAACCAGTAGCAGTGCCTCGAGGAGCAGTGAGAGTGCGACAGGCATCTTCCTGGCATCATCCGATCTCCTCCTGCATCTTCGGCATCTTCCATGGCGCGGTCGTTATCCAAGCCTGAGGTCTATTGACGGCCTCCAAGTTCCTCAACTTGCAACTAAACTCTTTGCTTCAACTCCTTTCACTTCTCCAAGCTCTTACTGGCGGACAGGGTGGCGGTATCCAGCTAGAGATGGCAGCATGCCACCATAGCTGTTTTAGCCCTCCTTGCGGGTAAAGTGTCCGGACTCCCGAGGCGCTATCTCGTTGGTAGCGTCTCGGGCGGCCGTGGGACAGTGTTACCGGTCCGGGAACGCTGAGGCTGAGCGCTTAGCGCCGGCCTCTGCGTTCCGCTCCTGTCCAGCAATGCTCTATCTTCCTCTATCACAATCCCAAACCTACAATCGTGCAGGCAATAGGAGCTTCTTAATTTAAACCACCAGTACTTGGCCCAGCTATCGAATCCAAGCCTTGGCCGACCGGTATGCCAACCCATGCCGAGGCTCGAACTACCGGGCGCTGCCTTCCTAGACCTCTGCGCAAAGAGGGGGGACAAAAAATACGAGAAAATGAACTAAAAGCCTTTTTTTTTTTTTGAAGTTCTTTTTTTTTCTTCAAAGTTCTTCTCATCATACCCGCGCGGTACTTCTTCGCTATGGGTCCCTCGCATGGACTTTCTGACAAAACTAACCCAAAAAGGAAAACGAAAGAAACAAAAAAAAAGAAAAAAAAAAGAGAAATCGCGATAAAACAAACCGACCGTTCAACTTTTGTTGCAGCCCCTACGAACAAGAGAGAGAGAGAGAGAGAGAGAGAGAGAGAGAGAGAGAGAGAGAGAGAGAGAGAGAGAGAGAGAGAGAGAGAGAGAGAGAGAGAATACATATCG